GCTCCATCAATTCCCTTCAGGTGTTCGCTTTTTTAATATACAGCTCCTTCAGTTACCTGCTTTCTTATGATTATAATTAAACTATACTTTTCTTTCTTTATATGTATAGAAATTTATGGCCTTTTTTGGGTTATCGTGCAAATAGGTGGATTTGACTGAGGGAAGATATTTGTTATCGGGTGCATCCGATGCATCAGCTGCTGTTTATGATGTTCAAAGGGCAACTAACTATGAAGGAAATGGTTTGATTGCCAAACACAAATGTTTGTTTTCAGTCGATAAGCAACACGGAAAGGGACATAAATATGCCATTTCATCCGCCATTTGGTATCCTGTTGACACCGGACTATTCGTTACAGGTTCTTATGACCATTATATCAAAGTTTGGGATACGAATACCACCCAGGTATTTTATTTGTTTTATATTGTTTGTATTGTGAATACCGATTCTGGGTTTTCTTTAAACTGATTTGTTTGTTGTTATAGGTGGTGATGAATTTTAAAATGCCTGGAAAGGTTTATAGGACTGCTATGTCTCCACTGGCAACATCTCATATGTTGATTGCTGCTGGAACTGAAGATGTGCAAGTTCGACTTTGTGATATTGCTTCGGGGGCATTTGCTCACACTTTGTCTGGCCACCGTGGTATGCTGAAAGTTGATGGAATTAGTCCATTTCCATTTCTTGCTTTTATTGATTGGCTGCCATTGATTATTGATAGCTTTTATGTAGAATTTGTACTCAGAGTTAACATTTTGTGCTAAGTTTTTTATAATTAAGAATGCACATTTTTTATTGGTTGTCTGAATGCTGCATTTGACATCCAGATTATGTGGTTTATATGCACCAGTAAGTATGCTGAATTGTTGATATAAATTATAATAGAAAACTTCTCAAATCTGACCCTTCTTTTCAGGTCCACTGCGATCAATATATTTTTGTCTTAGCTAAAGTTAGACAAGAAGTTGTCTAACGTATAGGTTCTTTGGCTGCAGGACTATGATGTTGTGTACATGTAGCAGCTTATCTGATTTTCGACCAGCCCTGCAGCCAGAGAACTATCTTTTACTCTCAAGTTTATTTTGGTCTTGCAGCCTAAAGTATGAACTCTTCTTTTAAATTGCAATTGGCTGCATGAGAATAGATTCACTGTGTTTGCTACTTCTTCTTCTTCATCTTGAGGGGAGGGAGGCATGCTTATATTTAAAAGACCATTTTTGGATATTTTCTTTATGGTACGAAATACATCTTCCCTTTAACTGGTGGTAAGAATTTGACCATTCCGTCATCAAATGATGAACTCATAAAGCTAGCAGTGCTACAACCCCGATTCTCAGTTTTCACGCTTGGTAAATAAATTCTAGGGTACTGGAAATTGTTAACATGAAATGCTAAGTTCTATGTGATTCCGTGGTGGCAGATGGAGTAATGACTGTGGAATGGTCTACTTCAAGTGAGTGGGTCTTGATAACTGGTGGGTGTGACGGTGCAATTCGATTTTGGGACATTCGACGTGCTGGATGTTTTCTTGTTCTGGATCAGTCGCAGTCTCAACTCGGACGGCGACCACCTGTCTTGGCTCGTTCTGCTGCAAATAAGGTATGCTTGTTGTAAGCTTGGGTTTGTTGCATCACATCCACTTTCTTCTTCTTTATTGGTCCTATTCCAAACTAGTTACAAGATCATAATTTACATTTGAAGTTAATATTTTGAATTTGGTTAAAATAGTCATGGATGTAATCTTCTGTTTGTCCAAATCAAGGAGAACTGATTGTTTGCTATTTATGTACCATGATAGGAATGATGGCAATTCTAGTTAACTTTTCCTGGAGTGGATTATTATGCTGTCAGATCATCCTGATTCATGTATAAAGGGACAATTGCAGATTTTCAGGGTAGACGAGTTTAAGAAAATTGACATTGTCTTATAACTGTTGTGCTGGTATCAAAGTATCAGACACAATTCGACCCTCCCTCCCCCATCCATTAGGACAAATGCTATATTTTGTTTTATGGTTTTTGTCCTAGCCGCATGCTCCACTTGCATTTTTTCTTAAATAGCTCATCGTGTCAAATTAGATTTTTTATCTTGATAATTTTTTATTATATAGTGTAAAACTCTTCCTTTATTTATTTATCTTTTGGCCAGGAGTGCTAAGCTCTTCCTTTGGTTTGGATAATGAGTGTAAAGATCTTTTTCCTCGTGAATTTCTTTCTGTTGTACCTTTGCAGGTCTCAGTCTCAAAGTCACTGTCAGCAGGCCAAAACTCATTGGGAAAACCACGAGCTCCACAAAAGAAATATGCCAACGGGCATGGAATGAAACAGTTAACTATCGGTCGAATGCCAGCTAAGAGTTCTGCAAGACAAAGATTACATCCGGGGATGCTTTCCATTCAAGATCGTGCCACTGCTCATTATGGTGCTGTAACTGGTTTAAAAGTAACCGATGATGGCATGTACCTTCTAAGTGCAGGTTGAGTTTGATTTTTTTTCCCTTGTTAGTTATTTCTAGCTAAAGCTGATTCATATTAGTTGAGGGGCGTTCAATGTGTTATTAGGGAATCTGCTGTAGTCTATTAGGTAGCTTTAAAAACTGATTACAGGTGTCGTTTAGATGACTATAGCCTATCGGTATGCAAAAGCAGAAATTGAGTTAGATATAATCTGTAAATGAAGCTGCAATATTAATTGATTCTAAGCTTAGATCCATTTGACTGCTTCGTGGGTTTTATATGGAGCCCACTCTGATCATATAGAAAACTATCTGTGAAATTGTTTAACCTTCTCTTTTTTTTGTGAAAACGTAAAACAAAATTAGACAATAATCTCTTCAAATTACATAATAATATTACTTCTCTTCGTCTCGTGTTTTGTCTATTGAATTCAGGCTCTGATTCAAGGATAAAGCTGTGGGATCTTGAATCTGGATACAATACACTTGTAAACTTTGAAATGGTGCGCCTCCAAACAAGCAAGGCAATTCAGTTAGCCATATCTCAGGAAACAGCTCAAGTCTTTGTCCCATGCATGACAGTTGTGAAAGTAAAAATATTTTTTCTATGTCATCAATTTCGTTGATTTTATGCGAGTGTAGTTCATATTTTAAAATTATAATATTCTTCCAACAATTACACCTTAAACGTCCATTGAATTTTGTAGGCATTTGATATCTGGTCGGGTAAAATGTCCCTTGCATTTCGTGGTCACTATGAATCTGTTAACTGTTGTTGGTTCAGTTCACAGGATCAGGTATGACATAGTTTCTCTACAACTTTCCCAAGGCTAAATATACATTTTGGTACCTGAGGTTGGCTTCAACGTTCCATTCAATTTTGTACTTGGGCCTTTTTTTGGTCCAATAAGGTACATAACTTGCCTTTTTTTTCAAATTGGTACCTGAATTTGGTTTCATGGTTCAAATAAGTCATTTAGTGTAAGTACCAATTTGGCAAAAATACCAAGTTCAATACCAATTTGAACCAGGAAGAGAAGTTTAGGTACCAAATTGAACCTTAAAAAAACATGTTCAGGTAGTAAACTTAAGGTCCCAAATTGAACCTTAAAAGACAAGTACAGGTAGCTAACTGATCCAAGAAAAGCTTAGGCACCAAATTGGACATTAAAGCCAAGTTCAGGTACTTAAAGATGTATACCCAATTATATATATTGATAAGACATTTGTGAGACAAGACATCACTTATTGATCAGATGTTTGTAGGTTATGAACATAAATATGTTAAGACTACCCTAAAATGCTATTTTGGATATATACATTTTTTACCCCTATCTTTCAAACAATGATTGTACTGTTAAAGCACAAGAGTTGAAATAGTTTTATCAGATCATTATAGAACCAATCCACTCGAATCTAACTTTTAATAAATTGCTTACCAAAAATAAAGCAAATGCTTCATGCATATATTATATGTTTTCATAGCATGAAATCTAGTCGGATCTTTTTTATTGAAGACTGCCTTGCCGAACATCTTTGACCTTCGCCACCTTTTGACTGTGACTGATTGTTCACTGTTTTCAGGAACTATACACAGGCGGCAACGATCGACAAATTCTTGTGTGGTCTCCATGCGAACCGATGACAGATGACACGGTACTTCTTCCAAGTTCGAAGATTTCTTTTTCATTTCTTGTTGTTCCATTTGACTGCATTCTCATTTGGCTGTCTTACAAGATTGTTCTAACTAAACAAATTAAAAAACGCAGGATACAGCGCATACTAAAGATCAAGATAATTGGAGTGATTAGAATCTGCTGCTACACCGAGTTGTTCTATATAACGTGCCATCTTTAGCTTCTTCTTCCACTTGTATATATTATATGTATGTGTATATACACAGTTGTTTGCTTCTTGTCAATCATTTGTATTTCTTTTTCTTTTCGTTTGACCGTCTGTTGTTATTTAAAGGATATAATATATACATATGATTAGCGTTTAATGGAGGGATCATTTGTTGTCCTAAAACTAAGAAGGCTAGTAGTAGTATATCTCTAATTTCCTAAATATAATAAACCGGCCTGCCTTACCGCTCGTTAGTCAAATTTCCTGCGTGTGAATTTGGGAATCCGCATGTTCAACAGATGCTCAATCGTTAACGCAATTGCCACTTTATATATGTATATATTCCAGTCTCTCTATCTTCTATATCTCTAAGATAGGTTTGAAATGTGAATCACTTAACGCAGCAAAAGAAGACTTTTTACCCAACTTCTTAGTCTTTGTTCCCCCCCCCCCTCTTTTAGTTAACCTTAAAGTAACCCCATATTCAGCACGGCATCGAGCGGCTTCTCATCCGAAGATGGGATCAGGAAAACCCATTGTTGCAAAAAGCTTGAAATGTAGGACAGGCAGATCAGCAGAGATGGATCCTGGGAATTGGAGCAAGCTACCACCGGAACTTCTAGAGCACATACTTGGTTTTTGCCTCTTAAAACGTTCTTGAGTTTGAGGTCAACTCGTAAGCGTTTCAAGTCTCGTGTTCTCCCCTTGTTTCATTTCCAAACACTCCTCTGCTTCTCGGTTGTCTTCGTTTTTGTTGCTTTCCCATCGCCAGTGCTATGGCCATTTCCCTCTCTATAACACAATCCGTGGGGCTTGGCGCAATTTAGCACTCCCCTTCTCTTTCTTGCCGCCTCCCGCTGCTAACTTCAATCTCCTTTCATCATGTAACGGACTTGTCTGCTTCTCTCTCCCAAATTCGTCCTTTCCTTGTTTGCAATCTCTTGGCCAAATCTTCCAGGATTATTCAATTCCCTTTCTTCCCCTATGACTTTGAGATGCTTACTCTGGTTTCCACGGCGGATGGATATAAGTTCTTCATGCTTTGCCCAAAATCCCCTTCCAATTATGCTTTTTTGTACGACTCCAAGGATCATTCATGGACACAGTACGATGGTTTGCAGCCGCTGCTGGTTGAAAATTTCCATCAGGAAGGCGCGTCCTTGAATGGGTCTTTGTGTTTCGCTACCCCTGAACCGTATTCTGTAGTGTCCTTTGACTTGGACAATGGGAAATGGGAAACCCTCAACACTGAAATGCCGGGGGAGCTTACATTTGTGAGGCTGGTGACTGACACCAATGGAGGGAAACTGTATTTGGTTGGGGGAATGGAATCTCGAAGAGTTTGAGATTGTGGGAATTGGGTAGTGGAGGGAGGTGGGTGGAAGTGGAAAGGTTGCCAAAACTGATGTGCAGGAAGTTTATGTCTGTTTGTTACCACAACTATGAGCACGTTCATCGGGGTATGATCTGTGTGTGCTGCCACACATGGCCAGAGATTTTGTATTGCAAGGTTTCAAGGAGAAGTTGGCATTGGATACCCAAGTGCCCTTCACTCCCAGACAAGTGTTCGAACCCAAATAGACGACGAAGAAGAAATTCAGGAGAAATCGTGCATGGTTTTGAGTGTTGCGTCGTCATTATGTTGACTTAAGATCAAAGGAGTGGAACAAAGGAAAAAGAGAAAGAACATTAGAACAACGAGTTCTTGAATTCAATTTAAGGTTCTTGGGTGGAGAAATAGAAGTGAGGGAAAGAAACGTTAGTCACTAAATTGAAACGAAATAATTTCTTGTTTTCAGAAATTATTTTTTAATATTAAAAAAATATGTCGGGTGATATTTTTAATGGGTTAACGGTTAAACTTAACGATCCGTCACAGCTGAAGTCATTTTGAGTCATAATAAAACGTTAGGCACTAAACTGTAACGAAATAAACGTTAGATACTAAACTGTAAAAACAAGCACAGATTAGACACCTTTTGTATATTTAAACCTTAAATTTAATATAAATGTCGAGTGGTGCTCTCTTTATAAAGGATAAAACATGACTTCCATTATCGTAGACGAAACCAGTATAGGCTCCAATTCTGTCCAAGTTTTTATTCTACACGTATGTAACTAATTTAGTCTTTGACGTGGTCGAGTGTTAGGAAAAGAAGCAAATTGGCATTGAAAAGTCATCATAAATGCACTCATCTTTCCTTCAGCTGTTTGGTGCTCAACACAGCCATGGACCTCTTTCTTTTTTCATCTGTGCCCCATTTCATTAAGGAGTCTAGGATATCCCGAGATTTAGCTTGAACTTACCATGACTACAAATTTTCTTTCTCACTTTTCATGATTAATTCCTATACAAATTTGTTTATATACAATTTGAAATTTAAAAGTAACAGAAGCTGAGGTTAGCATGAACTCATACTAAACTAATTTCAATTTAGTGCATCAATGATAATTTAGAACCCCCGGGTTTCTTGTTGACGGTGGCAATATTATTATCCTCTTACTAGAAACTTTGAATTATTTATAAATGTTTTGAAAGGTCAAAACATATATGTTTTCAACCTTGAAGGTCGATTATAAAACAAAATGAAATAATTTATCCTTCTTAGCAGCCAATATGTATTAACTCGGCCAGAAACACATCAGTTCACCATCACTGTTGCATTTCCAAGTCATGTTTCTTTTTTTTTAGAAAAGCGTACCTCATTAAAAAAAACTTGAAGTGGATCATAACCTCTAGTGTCTTACGAGCTTTCAAAAGATGGTACTCCAATGTGAATAAATTCTTCTCTTGTCGGGATAGTTTATTAACGATCAACGCCGAGTCTGATTCAAGTGACATAGATCTAACTATACTCGTTAATCAACGGAAGAGCAACATTTCCAAATCATGTTGGCTAATTATAAATTTGCAATATATGATCACAAATCTTTTTTCTTTATCCTGTTATTCATTTAGAAAACATAAGACTGAATTTGTTATTAGTTCAGCTTGATATGATGCTATAGTTTAATTTTAATTTTTTAATATTAAAGTCAATAAATACTGAATGTAAACTATAAAAATTATTTGATATTTACTACAACTGGGTGTGTTAATGGAAATATATTGCTTGATTGATGTAAATGCTACATTATAAAAATAAATATTTAAAAATATCTAAACCAATAGTAAGAATACTTAATCTGAATTATTATGATTTAAATTCTATTTAAAAATAAAAATATTGAGATAAAATATTAAATTAACACTCAACTGAATTTATTCTCATCAATTTTACATACAGGTAATTTTTAATGCTTGATCTGTTGTACTAATACCCCAATGATTAGGGCAAGCGAGCATGTACCCCCAAGTAGCCACCGGATCCTGCCCAAAATAAATAATAAAATATTCAATTTTATCACATTCATGCATAAAAATATACTTCGTAAAACCTTATTAATAATAAATTTCAATAAAATGATGAAAAATTATACATAAATCTTATTTACATGTTAATTTTTTTAATAGATTAATATGTTAAGTTAAAAATATATAATTGTTTATTATTTAATTAGAGGTTATATAAAATTGTATAAAGAAAAAATATTAGAAATAGATCAAAGAAAATAGGAAGGGATAACACCGCTCCCATCGCACGTGCTCGAACCAGGGCTTAGATTTTTTTGGTACGGTAAAAATATACACGTGGCAGCGCGAAACCTCGCTGAAAGAGACCAACCGAATTTGTAAGCTGTGTAACTAATTCCCTTTATATTCTCTCTCTATCTTCAATATTTTTCATCCCTTTTATCAAGCGACCCGAATACGCCTCACTTTCGGACCTGGTTAACCCGATTTCAGAACCCGTGCTGAATCGTGGTTTGTTATAAGGACCGGTGAGGTTTTGATGCTGTGAAAGTGTGGTAGTTTGGATATGGAGACAGAGAATGCAGTGAATTACACGTATATGGGGAGGAGCTTTAAAGATTTGAGCATCAACGATGATTCTACAGCTTTAAGTGATTGTAGCAGCGATAGATCTGGGGAGTTCGCTACGGCTTCGTCTCAGAGTCAGCTGTTATTACTCGCATGTGCTAATTCCGAGAATTCCAATGACTTAATACGGCAACTCGTATCAGATCTCGATTCATGTTCGATTGACGAGCAAAAGCAAGCGGCCTTGGAGCTTAGACTGTTGGCAAAGAACAAGGCGGAAAATCGAATAAAGATTGCTAAAGCTGGCGCAATAAGGCCTTTGATTTCGTTAATTTCATCTTCTGATCCCTATCTTCAAGAAAACGGCGTGACGGCGATTTTGAATCTCTCTTTATGTGACGAGAACAAAGAACTTATAGCTTCATCGGGAGCGATTAAACCACTGGTTAGAGCTTTGAGGACGGGAACTGAAACGGCTAAAGAAAACGCAGCTTGTGCTTTGCTTCGGCTATCGCATATAGAAAGAAACAAGGTGGCGATCGGACGGTCAGGAGCTATTCCACTTTTAGTTAATCTTCTTGAGAACGGTGGATTTCGCGGGAAAAAGGACGCATCGACAGCGTTGTATTCTCTATGCACAGTTAAAGAGAACAAAATCAGGGCCGTTGAAGCTAGGATTATGAGACCACTAGTGGAATTAATGGCCGACTTCGGGTCAAACATGGTTGACAAGTCGGCTTTTGTTATGAGCGTGTTGGTACCAATACCGGAAGCTAAAACGGCTTTAGTTGAACATGGAGGGATTCCCGTTTTGGTGGAAATTATCGAAGTTGGATCGCAGAGGCAAAGGGAAATAGCCGTAGCGACCTTGTTACAGATTTGCGAAGATAATTTGCTGTTCCGTGCTATGGTGGCCCGCGAAGGAGCAATTCCCCCATTAGTCGCTTTGTCCCAGTCCGGTACCAATCGCGCCAAGCAGAAGGTAAATTATTAGTAACAACATTAAGTCATTAAGTTTTAACTTAGAAAAGAGTAAAATCTGGTCAGTTGGTCATCGTTTGTTTAGGTGTCAGGGCTGTTTTTTTTTATTTAATCTCGCCATTTTTTATGGATCGTTTTTACTGCAAGAAAAGATAGAAGTGTACAATGTTTTGCCACGTCAGCTAAACAAGTTCTGCAATTTTAGGAGGAAAAAAATCAAGAAACAAACAAAATGTGTCTGTCGAACGCTCTCCAGACGCCGTGTTTTGGAAGTCAACTAGGCCAAAAATATTCTTAATTTACAGTCAGTTCAATATTTTTTGTGCAACTTGAGTTCGGTTAATTTTGCGTTTGTTTCATTGAATTTCCTCTCTCTTTCTTTGGCGTATGATTTTGTATAATGGTATAGTCATTCCTTGTCGTTTTGTTCGGCATTATTTGGACAGGCATCGACACTAATAGAGCTTCTACGGCAACCAAGATCCGGCAACGCCGCTGCCAGGGGCTCGGATGTGTCAGTTTAAAACTGTCCCTACCACCCACATGGAGATTCTAATAACAAAATCAAAAGAGAAACAATGAAATAGATTTTGCACAAAATACATATTGAAATGTAAATATCTTATATCAAGTAATCTCGACATCGTGATAAAGTGGTATGAGACTTTGATATGCTTGTTTTTGAGGTTTGGTTGGCTTTTGGCTTATTTCATCAAGAAAAGAATAGTTATATATAATTTGTTGACAGTTCAACTACTGCTTAATGTTTGATATCATATAATACTAGAATTATTTTGTGTTTGTTTTTGGTCAATATATTCTTAATTATGCGTTTAAGAAATGATTAAAATGAAACAAAAGAATGTGATCCAGAGATGGTTCTGCTTTGTTTTAGTGGTACCGGACTGGGACAAAGCGACTAATGGGGTTAGGACATTGAGTTTTTTTTTTATCACTCATCCTTGATTCGATCCAGACAATTTACTCACTGAACGTTAAACATTGAGTTTTTTTTATCACTCATCATTGATTCGGTCCAGACAATTTCTTCTCCCCGTTCATTGGTTGTTATCATTTATTTTACTTGGGGTTAGGATATGATTTTAAGGGGTGGCATTTGTTGTGTTGATTGATTTATTTGACGGTTGTGGGGATGAACAAGAGAGTGAGGGCATAGGTGAGCTTGACCATTTGTTTGTGGGAGGGTGGTCGTTAGTGAGAGGATGAACTTGTCAAGGGTGATGGTGGGTGGGGTTATAATTTAAGGATTAGGGTTTGGAATATAATTTAAGAAATTAGGTATAATTTAAGGGTATAATTATAATTTTTTAAATTTTTTTTATTTTAATCATATTTGGTATTAAAAATATTAATAAAAATATGACATATTTTATGAAAAAAATAAAATAATCCATATCATCTAGTAAAAAACTTCAATGTATAAATTTCAGTGAGTAAATTAAAAAAATTGAAAGTATGATAAATAAAATAGGAGAGAGTAAAATTAAATGAGAAATAATGTAATTTACCCATAATTGAATTGGTTTTGCATTTTTAATATGGGTAAAGTATAGTAATAGTCACTGAACATTTCCGAAACTTGCATTTAGGTCTCCCAACTTTTAAAACTTGCAATACAGTCCCCAAACATTTAATTCGTTTGCACTATGGTCCCGCACCTATGAATATTAGGGTAAATTATATAAATGGTCACTAAACTTTTCAGGCACTTAAATTTAGGTCCCCCAACTTTTAAAAATTACAAAACAATTCTCAATTTCATTCTAAACCACAAATTCCAAAGTAATTCAATTTCATTCTAAACCCTAAATTCCAAAAATAATTCAATTACATTCTAAAACCCAAATTCTAAAATACTTCAATTTCTGTCTTTTTTATAAACGACGCCAATGTCACTAAATTATTAATTAATTTACTTTTATATTTAAAACATATGATAATTTTTTAATATTAATTTAAAGACATGAAATTTTTTCAATAGTAAGAATATATGATAATAATTCATTTATTAAAAATAAATATATTTCTGATTATTTGTGTATGTTTTTATATCTAATCATATGTGTTAATATATTTTATATCTTTCACATAAATATTAAGACTACATAAATAGCAGAGTCAAAATTTTATATACGAGTTATGTTAATTATAGTAATGATGTATAATATATTTTATTTTTATATTATTTCTATTATAATTAAAATATAAAATTACCATGATAATTAAATATTTATTTACTTATTACATCAAATATTTTTTTGTAGAAAAATTATTTAATAAAATCATAAAAAAAACACAATAAAAAATAAACACTGAAGTTGACTACTTCAAAATAAAATAAAAAAATCAATAATTTAATATAATATACCCTAAGTGATGATAACAATCAACTCAAAAGAGATGGGATTTGTGCCATGTTTTCGTAACATACGTAAACTTTCTATTTCATGGTCACGTTCACGTATTCTTTTAGTTCTAGCACGATCTATTTTTTAATTTTCTAATATAGGTAAAAAAATGTTATTTTCTTTAAAAGTTTTAAATTCAAACAATTGTGTTTGTAGGGTATATCTATATTGTTAATAAATTAATTTTTTTGAATAAATACTATCTTATAATCACATCAAACTATTAAAAAAAATTAAATTATAATTGAAATAAATAAAATTATAAGGATGTCAATTGGGGATTTTGATTCTAATTTTTTTCATTGAGAGATTGTATTTTTTTAATTCAATTTCTTCCATAATCATTTTTTATATTTAAATTATTGAAGATCACTAAATTTACATTTACGAGGAGGGAGTGTATTTTTTTCTTCACAAAAGTAAAAAAATCAAAACGCTATCACGTTCTTAAAGATAATCTATTATATTTCTCCTTAAATTGAAGTATTTTAGAATTTGGGGTTTAGAATGTAATTGAATTATTTTGGAATTTAGGGTTTAGAATGAAATTGAATTACTTTAAAATTTGGGATTTATAATGAAATTGAGGAATGTTTTGTAAGTTTTAAAAGTTGGGGACCTAAATTCAAGTGTCTAAAAAGTTCAGTGACCATTTATATGATTTACCCTAATTTTCATAGGTGTGAGGACCATATTGCAAACGGATTAAATGTTTGGGGACTGTATTGCAAGTTTTAAAAGTTGAGGGACCTAAATGCAAGTTTCAGAAATGTTCAGTGACCATTACTATACTTTACCCTTTTAATATTTAAAATATTTTCCAAGAGAAAGGATTAGGGATGAGAAAAAGGAAGGTACCCACTTTGTCATTAACCATCTTATCATCTGCCACCTCCATGGGTTTGACTATAATCATATATCATACAACGGTACTGTTTAAGGATGAGCGTTCGACATAAGTTAAAAAAAATTAAGTTTTTGTTTAAATTTAATTATAAATATTTATAATATTATGATATTATTTGATTTTAATTTAAATGATTTTTTTTATAATTATATACAATATATGTATATTTCTTCATATTTTTTTATATTTGATATATATCATAAAAATTCAAGAGATTCGACTTAAACTTAAAAATCAATCTACTAATTATTAATAATTTTGAACTATTCGAGTTGTATTTTACAACTCAATTATAACTTGAAATGTTTCGAGTCAAGTCGAATTTATAAAATTAGAACTCGAAGTCAATTTAAATCAAATTTTATCGAGTCGATTTTATTCGAAAAAAATTAATTTTTTAAATTGAATCAAATTTTTCTGACCCTTAATATTATCCCTTGTTCCAGCTAAATTTAATATCTCAACACGAATAACTTTTATACAAACTCAAAACTACCTTACTTTAAATTTTTGTAAACTTCTGATTCGATCAAAATACCCGAATATTATATTAATCTTTATCCTTTAATAAAATTTTATATAAACTCTAGATCAAAAATCTAAAACCTACTAAAATATTATTTTTGGGCTGAACTTCTCATTTATAAACCCAAAACATAATTTTTAAAAATTTATATTTTTAGTCCCTAAACGTTTACAAATTTACATTTTGGTCCTAATTTTTTTGAATTTTACATTTTAGTCACTGATTCTAAATTTGGGATATTACACAATGTTTATTCAACCATTGGTGTCGCATTGTTTCCATCCAAAATGACTGTCTCCAAAAGCTTAGAAGAGCACTAGAAAACTATTGTTTCATGCTTGCTGTTGTATAAAACAAGAGCTCCTGGGTGGTGCAAGGCATTGTCGACATCTAGAAGTTTTGGTTGAGACTACAATTTTTTGCATGGGGTTGGGATGGGCATAACATTCAGATCCGAGTTCTCAAATATAGCCAATGCTTATGTGAAAGAGGATTTAGAATACTGCTAGGCTTTGAAGAAGGGTTTTCATTGTAGGCCTGTTGATTACCAGATAAACGATGGAGGATGGTCGGAGTGGGTTTTGAAAAGGACGGCTACAAGCGGGTCAATGGGGTTTTACGGATACGGATAGGTCTTCTCGGCTTGATATTATCGATTTCAGTAGTACTTTTTCCTTTACTACTATAATAAGAAACCTTGGGATGAGTGTGTAGACACCCGTTTTTGTCCGGGTTTTTTTTTCCCGTTATTTTATTATTATTATTATTATTATTATCGTTATTTTATTATTAATATTACATTTTACATATTTTTGCAGGCCTAATCCCTAAGCCCAACAGCAGATACAAACTGGAGCCCAAACCCGGTTCAGGCCCAGTACCAAACCCTAACCTTAGGGTATCAGCATCCCAGCGCCGCACCAACATAGACCATTCGATCTGGACCCATCCAACGGTCCAGATCGATGGTAAATAGGGTTTCATAACCCTAAGCCAATCCAGCCGTCGTCGCCTTTTAGCCTCTCAGCCGAGTGAGTGCCGCCGACGATCCCAAGCCACCGCCGTGGTCATCCAGCTTCCAAACAGTGACTGAACGTCATCCACAGTGCCCAAATCAGTAAAAAATATATATATCCAAACCCTAAAATATAAAATACCTAAATCCGGTAAATCGGGAAATTGGTCACCCTAAATCAACAACCCATAATTTCCCCTATTCTAGACATCATCATCTCACCAAACGAAGCAAAAATGAACCATAAATCAAGCAAGATATCAGAGTCAAGGGAGGGGGGATTCGAAAAAAAAAAACGGAAAGAAGAACGAGAGACCATTCGGGTTCAAAAAAAAAAAAAAGAAAAAAAGAAAAGAAAACATAAAAAAAAACAGAAGATAGGAAAAAGAGGAGAGAGTAGAGACCATACCTTGGTCGAGCACCGATGAAAACCGGTCGCCGGAGATGGAGAAACCGAAAGGTTTCTCCCCTAATCCACTGCGATTGAGCCACTTTTAGGCCAAACGGAGGCCAGATCCTTGCTCAGGGTCTGGAGACGCTTTGAATAGTGTCGTTTTCTCTCCCTTCGGCGCCGGCGTACGGCGGCGGCCGCCGGTCAGTGGCGGCCGGCACGGCGGAATCTCGCCGTTCCAGAGAGATTTCTAGATATCTCTCTCTCACTCTCTCCTCTTCTCTCTCTTTCCCTTTCTCGTGCTGAAGGGAAAATGAAACAGATGGCCGGTTCAAGGAGATATTTGGGCTATTTATAGCTTGGGAAACGGCGTCGTTTTGAGGGGACGAGTTCTGTAATTTCACGCATGGGGTAACTACGCTTTTGGTCCCTGATGCTTTGTAACCGTATTATTTAGCCATTAAATGAAGTTTCATTTATTTGATT